TCTTGCCCTCGCCTCGCGGCGAGGAGCCTTCGTGCAACAGCACTGCGCAAGCCGTGCAGAGAAAGCCATCGCTCACTCTGTGTACAGCCTGCGTCGTAAACGACCGGTCCACGGCGGTGACGTGGGGCCAGTCCTTCTGGGCAACCAGGAGGTGGGTGAACACCTCGCTCACGTCGAAACCGCTGCGGTGTTTAACCGAGCGGGCCAACCAGTCAATCTCTGGTTGATACCGTGACAACCACGGGATGCCCAGGATGCAATCGAATTCGTAGTTAATCTCAATCACGAGGAAGTCGTCATTGCTGCGAAAGCCGTCGAAAGTGTACGGCAACGTGATCTCGCGCCGCGCGACGTGGCGCGGCTTTCCGTCAGCAAGCTTGACTACAACCTGTCCGCGACCGTTGCGGACAGCGATTTCGCTGGGTAGCGTCGACAGACACGACTCACGGAAGAAGTTGTTTGTCGCTCCTGAGTCCACAAGCGCGCGTAGTGGACGTCGGGCGCCGGCGACATGGAGGCTGATGATGATCAGTCTTGAGTCGCCCGACGCTGTGGTGGCATTGAAGTGTGCGTGTAGCACGCGAGGGCTAGAAGGTTGGGTTGCCACCGGGGGACCCGGATCTTCATTCCAGCCAGTAGGGCGCCCCGCACCTACTGGCCTTGGCCGTTTTTTGGGTGATCGGTAGGAGAGGCATCGACAGTATGCGCGAGTACTGGCGCGGGCGCGCGGCACTCAGCCGCGCGATGTCCAACCTTCCGACAGCGGAAGCAAGTGAGGGATCGACTGGGACGACCACCGTTCGCACGAGGGGCTGCACGACGGCGGTTGCTCGACGCGTCAATCGCGTCGATCTCCATCGGCTCCGGAGCTGACTCTTGAGTTTCCGCGGGTAACGCCCGCGCATACGACGCCGCCACAACGTAGTCTTCACGAAGTGCGAGAGCAAATGCCTCCTCGAGAGAGGAGGGTTCCGCTCGAGTCAGACAGTATCGCGTTATGCCTTCACGCATGCCGAACACAAAGACGTGGACTTGAGATGCCATGTCAATCGGATTGGTGACGATGCAGGATGCGAGGTGGCGTGTCTTCTGGATGTAGTCGCGCATGGTCATCTTGCCTTGTCGCAGAGCGAAGAGCTCTGCGCGCACTCGGGACTCGTCTTGTGGAGGCTCGAAGGCGAGACGAAGATCACTCTGGAGGGCCTCCAGGGTGGAGAACGCATCGTTGTTGACGACCAGTTTGCCGAGTGCCCACTCCTTGGCTTTCCCGGCCAGTCGGGAAAGTAAGAAGTTAACTTTCGCTCCTTGCGCCTCGATCATCCTCGAGGCGATAGCGATGTCGATTTCGCGAAACCAGCGATTCAACGGAAGGCGATTCGCTCCTTCACCGGAGTAGGTTGACGTCTCCAACTTGACGATGTCATTCTTCGAGGAACGCGAGGGAGTTGTCGCTCGCCGATTCGCGTCGGCGAGCTCGCGTTCCATGAACTCTTGAGCTGCTTGACGTTGTTGATCGGGAGTCACTGAGCTCAGCAGCGACGCGACAACAGCCTCACCGGACACCGCCGCAAGGCGGTGAAAGGCTTCCCACTCGACACGAGTGAGATGAGGGAAAGCAGCATGCTCCAGGGTTGACCCTGAAGCTTTAGACGTCTGGCCTTGGCTCATTGTGAACTTGGTCATGGGAAGGACTACTAAGTGCTACCAGGTGTAACGGGCCTAGAGTGTCCGTTACTAGCTTACACGTAATAATGAGGAAGCGTGCAAGATCCACGATAGTGAAACCAAGTGTTTAGTCTGAAGGAAAATCAACTCTGTTTTTATTTAGGTCCAGGGCAGCTTGCCCTGACCACTCAAATACACGTCAACCCCTTATTGGCTGATAATGGGTCTGGCTCCCCATATATCAACCAATAGGATGACGGCAGTTCAGCACACGCTAGCTGTGTGCTGCTGCACCTACTTTTGTAATATAAAGCCTACCTACTTATGTAATGGTGTGGCCGCACTACAACCACGGTGTTGAGGCTGATTCGCGAAGCTGATACCCCACACGTACCCTTCCTAATAGGCACGCAAAAAGGATAAGCTGCTTGACTGCAACAGTAAAGCGTCGAGTGCTCGCACGCCTGCATCAGTGGAAACGCATACGGGAGCTGTAGTGATACAATTGCGTAGCACGATAGATCTTATCTGGAGTTTCTTTTCCAGTAGTGTAGGATTACCATTACTTATTGCTGGCCTGCTGGCCACGCCTTAGTCGCTGACTGAATCTGTAGAGCATGCAAAAGAGCTTAGATAGTCAGTAAGTACATACACAGCACCGGGTAGATCACGCTTACATGAATTGCTCCGTTGACCTCTGTGTTCTTCTTGGTGATTTTGCCAATGGAGCTGTCAGTGGCATTTTTAGAATAATAACCAATCAGAGACATTCATTTAATCGTTGGTGACTGGGACTTACGAATTCCAAAGTCAATTCAGTCAGCTTGATGATGTTTTTACCCAATCATAAATGTCATAAAAAGGTCATCGACCAATCAGACATACGATTTTTTTCTTAAATTCTTTAAAAATAAGAACAATTGTTGGTGAGCTACTGTACTAGTAGTATTAGCTGTCTTTGATTATTGCACTTTTATATCGGTAATACTATTCAAGATCCACTACTATCGCGAGAAATGCTATTATACGGAAGATGTCGACTCTTGCATGTATCCAATATCCCTTTGATGAAGTAGGAAGCAGTGAGGTATCTTCGAAGAAGCACCCAGGCTGGTCGAGTTTCGTCGTTCGTCGAGAAGGCAAGGACTTGTACTTGAAGTATTATTAGAGTCTAGAGTGCGGAGCGGGAGCAAGAGTTGTCCTTCTTTTCTTACATATGTGTAGCGGTTATGCCTCAGAAATAGTAGAGTGAACAGGAGGTTGACTTCAACGTAAGGCACGATAGGTATTGGCTGCAACGACAATGACAAACTTGACAATGCATAGAGCGCTAGAGCGACGAACTCAACTCGGCGTTAAAGTTCGTTCAAAAGCAGTGCAATGTGGCAAACCGACGCTTCAAGGGAATGGATCATTTACTAGGCCTGATGAAAGTTTCTGTCGTGGGCAAACACTGCTGTAAGCGCAGCTGTTGGTCACGACGCCTCTTGGGGTAGCTATTGCCGAACGATACTGATGAGAGCTTAACCCTTGATGACCGAAGCGTCTGGGAGAGTCCCCCTCGGGGACTTTACTTAAAAGCACATGTGTCAATTTAGCGTGAGAGAAGAAGGTCGACTTGTGCATTTCTTCCTCGTGATGGCGTTATGTGGAGAGATCGCTAGAAAGGGGGCGTCAGACCTTCTCAGAAACAGGAGCACTAATGAGTAAGTGCATCTTGTCGGACTGGTTTCTACCAGGTTTCTGATGTGCGAAGCTCTTGGAGAACGAAGACACCGCCATCATCTCCAAAGCTTGATCATCTGGGACACGAAGCTTGACATGTTTGTGCGCCACCTCATTTGCCGAAACGCTTCCACCCTTGGAGTTGTAAATCTGCTGTCGCCACCATATCAGCTCGCTCTATCCACACGCTGGACTGCTGCGATCGGGGCATTCCGAGTCGAATTTCCGACACTCCGGTGCCAGTCAGGCTAAAAGCATCGCCGAATTTGAAGACACCGATTTACTGCTGGCGAGCTAACAAACGTAACTCTCAACGGACCTGAGAAAACGCTTGGCTTAGTCCGGTATGACGAAACGTAAATTATATGTATCTTTTCGGCGGCGATACGTAGATTGGATGGTGAAACTTCAACGCCGTCTTTTTCTGCTAAGCCGAGCTTCCTTCTGGCCGAGAAGGCGGCAGTTTTTGGCAGTCGTGGTGTTGCAGGGCGGAACTCAGTTGCCACATTTGAACACTGTTGTTGCTTGACGGTCAAACTTTGACCGATTCTTCCCCGTTCGGTGCGGTGCTATGTACATGTACTGCGTCCTAACGTAGGACTTCAAAATTAGTGAAATCGCTCGGTCCCATGTCGAAATGTTGCGTTGAGACTTGTTCATGTTAGCAGAATGCCGAGACCGCTATCAGCAACATTGTTTTGTGCTCCATTGCTACTGAGACCGTCAGCTACAAGCGGATATTCCAAGATAGGTGTACTGTAGCATACACTGCTGATTCTAGTGCTATTCGATGCGAGATGCAGTGGTGCTGACAGCCCAGAAACACCTCAAGTGTCAGAGGAGATGATTCTGCGTGCTTTCGACGAACCCAGCGATCAGGGCATAGCTCTCGAATGTGTGGAACTCTATGCGTCCCCGTTACCCGCACAATAATTCTAGCGAGCATTACAACATGAGATAGTCAGTCATTTCAGTTCGGAGCCAGCACAATGGTAGTGAAAGAACAATTAGTGCTTTGTTGCTAGTCAATAGACAAAGGCTGGGGCTGATCCACCCTTATTCTGTTGCTATAAGACGACAGCGCGCCGGTCCTCGGCTCCAATTGGTGCCACGCTGTCCAGACGATTGCAACTAGCGCTTTCTTGCATGTTGCCAGCGTAGAGTCCAATGACGACGGAATTAGTAGACAGTTCAGCACATTTGTAGCTTTCTCAGGCCCGGTTGAGCCGCTATAACCAGCTCAGTACTTCGAGCGTGGCGGTCTCCTCCCACTCCATAGCTCCGTAGCGGGCAACTCCGGCGACGAAGCGGCCTGGTAGTAGATCGATGGCCGACCGCCAGCTTTGATCGCGGGGAATCTTTTGACTTCTATGAAATGAAACGCTATGGCCGTTATGAGGGTAACCGCTGGCATAATAGAAGAAAGTAGCCATAAGTGCGTGCGTATATCGACGGCTCATAGGCAGTCCAAAGGGCGACCCGGCCCTCGACTCGATCGATTCTGAACGATGATCACTTCCCATTCCACTATCTCGGTCCAAAGTCCAGCTTCAAGCTCACTTTAGCATTTCCAGAATAGTCGACACACAAGTCGAGCGATGTCTCATTTCATGCCTTCTACCGACTGGAGATCCAGCACGTCGGAGGACTCGGACTACACATTCATGCTCTTCCAGCCGGACACACAGACAACAGCTCCGTGCGCACAGATACAGGCACCCTATGCGACTGCAAACATGCACCCAGCGTTGTGCAGCACCATTAGTCAGGCCCTTAGCGACGAGGAGATTCTAGACGAAATCTTCCAGGAGATCATGTCGCCCGGTCCACAGGACCAGGAGCTTTCCGAGCTCAAGAGCTTCGAAATGGCCAGCACCTGCACCCTTTTCAACCCCGTGGTGACACCCAATTCAGCTCTTACCTCAGCGCCTTCAACGCCACAGCTCACCAGCACGCTACGTCGAGGCAGCATTCCGTCGGCATCACTAGGATCCATCTCCCCTAACATGGCGGCGGCTCTACGTCTACCGACGTTCGCCATGAGCAATACAGGTACAGCACGCAACACAGCCTTCTTCCCCATGTTGAACGACCCCAAAGTGCGCATCAACACTGCGTTTGGTGGACATCACACGTCCATGCTCTTCACGTCACCGACAGCAGGTCGTCGCGGCTATCGACGCACGAATCGCCCTACGCGTATGCAGAAGAAGAAGCCAGCCTCGCGCATTTGTCGTATGCCTGGCTGTACCAAGGGCATCCGCTCGCGGGGTCTGTGCAAGGCTCACGGTGGTGGCCGTCGGTGTACGACGCCCGGCTGCGAGATCAGCGACCAGGGCGGAGGTCACTGCATCGCTCATGGTGGTGGTCGTCGCTGCTCCGTCACAGGTTGCCAGAAATCGGCTCAGTCTAAGGGTTTATGCAAACTACACGGTGGCGCTCGGCTGTGCCGCCTGCCAGACTGCAACAAGAACGGCCAGATCAAAGGACTCTGTCGGCTGCACTACAGCCTTACCATGGCGGCAAAGAACTCGGCCGCCAAGGCTCCAACTGTAATGCCTGTGACTATGAAGCTCGAGTGCCAGAGCAGTCACAGCCCGTGCGATACCTTCCAGCTGTGAGCTTAAGTATCCTCAGCCATGCAAGGCCACCACGGCCTGCATACCCCATGTAGTTAGTAGAAATCCCAAAATTGACCTGAACATAGTGTAAATACCCCACACAAATCACAATAAATACAACCATAGATCCCGAATTGAACGACATTGTTGCAGCGAGGGGTACGAAGAAATTGAAGGATCGAGCCGGAGATGGAGACGATAGAATACAAAAGACGCCCGACGAAAACCGTAGTGAGGACCTCCACCACTCGACAACAAGAACTAAGCATCTTGAAGTCAGCGCAGAGGTAAACATGTAATGGCATAAGTCGCATATGGTCCAGCTTCAGTGGATTCTAATACATATAACACACGACGTGCTCAAGTTTCCGTAATACGAATCGTACAGAATTTTGCATCGTGTTCGGCCTGCCAAGGTTGAATCCTTGTCGATATCATCGTGTAACCTAAATAACTGCGTTTTGAGTTTCATTTGCGAGAAATTGTCCACGATGATTCCACCATTCTGCAGTATCAAGGGGTCAAATGATTGCCTTGGAGAACTGCAGAATGGAACAAAGCAGTGTCGACAAAAGCTTCGGCATAACTACAGTGAATCTTTGCAATCAGTATTCATCTAACCTGAACACTGTGTTCAACACACATGTATACAAAACGACATGCGATGTACACTGAGTGAGCACCTACGCAGCATACAGCTAGACACACCGAACGCCGATGCAGCGCGCTTTGATAATTTGCGGTGGCTTATTAATACGGTAACAGTAAACTGTTTCTACCAGTACATATCATAAAACACAACGGGAGACTCAATTGCCGCAGAAAAGGCAATAAATCATAAAACACAACGGGAGACTCAATTGCCGCAGAAAAGGGACGGTGTTGAAGTGCGCACCGTTTCATCGTCCAATCCGCCCAAATAAATTATCGATGCGTTACATGTAGCACGTGAAGCGGTTTTAAAATTTGTCCGTGACTAGACGCAACTCCAAGCAAGGATGGAGGCGTTTCGGCAAATGAGGTGGCGCACCACACGTGTCAAGCTTCCATTCGTGTCCCAGATCAAGACTGGCCGCCGTCGGCGATGATGGCAGTGTCTTCGTCTCCAAGAGCTTTCCACACCGTATTTCTGCTTTCTAGAAGTCTGAGTGTTTGACCACGACAGTGAAACCTTCACCAAGGTTACTTGCGATCTATTCCCTGCAAAGGAGCGCATCGCCACATTGCACTGCTCACTTAAACTTGCATGTCGGCCGATTGAACGAACTTCAACGCCGAGTTCGAGTTCGTCTCGAGCGCTCATGCGCTGTCGAGTTTGTCATAGTCGTGTGAGCCCATGACTACGATGTCGACGTCTTCATCGGCTTGCTACAACTCTTGAGCCACTACACTCAGTGTAGTACATGTACACTGTAGTCTACAGCTAAGCAGAAGCGCAACTTCATGCGTCAGTGTTTTCGTTTCGGTCTCACTTTGAGCAAATGTCAGACTTTGCAACTTCAACTTCCATATATCCTACGTCTTTACCGCACCTACTGTACTACTCGTTGTCCTCGAGTTGCCGGCAACCTCAAAACCCGCCCAGTACTCCATTCAGAGCGTCGCTAATCGCATACATCCGTCGTCGCTGGTGTTTCACATGCCCAATCCCAACACTCTGACCGCCACTTGCGAACGCCATCATCCTCTTCCCTCCCATACTCTCCGGGTCTCCTCGCTTCTCGTAGAAGAAGACGTCGTTCACCACACGGTCCAGCGCCGAGTAGATGTGACTAGGGACAGCAATCGTCGCCACTGTATCAAACAGCGCTTGCTCTGAGACACGCAGAGTCCACACATCCTGGTGCATGACGTTATGTTGCAGCAAGGGCAACACCACGTCCATCTCCGCCCGCATCAGCTGCGGCGCCAAGAGCTCGTGAATGGCCATGGCAGTGCGGAAGAGAAACACGGTGCCGTCCAGTAAGAAGTTATCGAACACTCTGGCAGCCGACTCGAGTGGTAGAACCTGAAGGAAGAGCGTCTGCAGCCAGTTCATGAGGTACATGGAGCAGGAAAACACGCCCACATCTCGAAGATGAGCGTGCAAGTGCGGTAGTCTGGCGCTCAAGAAGGCGTCGAACAGCGTGTAGTATACATTGGCGAGGTCGGCGTCCAGTAAGTAGAAGGTGAAGAGATGCTCGTTCACCATGAGGTTGGCGAGGCATTGGAAGGCCAAGTAGCGGTCTTGAGGCATGTGCAGACACAGCATCGCCGCTAAGTACGACATGCCTTGAATGTAGCCAAGATCGGGGCGATAGCAGGCGTACGTCTCGAGAACTTCCAGTAAGAAGGCGTAGTAAGGACCGCTAGCGTCGAACAGCTTGAGCGACGGGAAGGTGCGCGGTAGATCCGTGTCAATGAGCGCCAACGTGTGTTCTCGACCGCCGTCTACCGTGTCTTCCTTTGACGCCCGGTCGCTCTTGTACGCCGCCGCACGTCGACGGTAGATCTTGAACATCTCGGGCGTGACTTTGAGCTTGTTGCCAATAGCCATGGGCCACACACGCGCTCGAATGGACGGAGGGATGCCTTGTCTCCATAGTGAGTGAGCTAGAGGTGTGTCTTTGTTCTCTTCCCAGTCCCGAAGGATGCGCGTCCGCCAAAGTTTCTTGGCACGTCGCAACTCTTCCTCCTTCTCGTGGATGGCTTCACGTGGCAGATGACTCAGATCCATCGCCAGAGTGGGCGGCGTGCCGCGACGATGACGACGTGGCGGCGTCACGGGTCGACTGGGCGACACTCGACCGAGATTCGGATCGTCGTCGCTGGCCTCGCTCCCTTCCGACACTTGTCGTGTGCTCGGAGGCATCTCCAGCCCATTCAGAGCCGCTCCAGTCGGTAGCATCGTCTGAGACGGAGAGTGAGTGTATAGTGACGCGTTCACTTCCAGAGCGATGGTATACTTGTGTCCACACGCCACGACGAGTTCTGTCTGGGACGAGAAGCAGTCAATACGCTCCGGTTTGTCTTTATTGGCAGTGTGGCCCAGTCCACACGCTCCGTACGAGTTCAAGCCCCACGCAAACATCACCCGCTGCTCTGTCGTTGCGATGGAGTGGAAGGCGCCGCAGTAGACGCGAGCCAGTTGATCAGGCGCACACAAGGCGTCTGCAGGCAGTTGAACACGAGCAGGGAGCGGCTGATAGACATCGCCCGTCCCTAGTTGACCGTACTCGCCCAACCCCCACGAGTACAGCTCTCCGCTGGCTGTCAGCACCACTGTATGGGTGTATCCACACGCCACGTCCACAACAGAAGACCCGGCCACGTCTCGCAGCTTGTCGACACAGCGAGGCACCACTTGATCTCTGTCCACATATCCTAAGCCGCACTGTCCTTCCCCCGTCTTCCCCCACGTGAAGACGCTGCCCTGTCGATCCAACGCCGCGGTGAAGTTCCAGCCGCACACCACGAGAGAGATCGACGTTCCTTGCGGGAATCCCACGATCGGATGCGGCGTATCGCGCCATTTATTGTCCCCCAGACCCAAGCGGCCATTGCGTCCTCGACCGAACGTAAACACCGAGCCTTTCGCAGTCAACACAGCGGTATGCGCGCCGCCACAACTCGCACTCACGACGCTTTCCCGCAGTAAACTCATTACTTTCCGAGGGACAGCTCGATCGCGCATATCTCCATGTCCAAGGCGTCCGTCCTCGCCGCTTCCCCAAGTGTACAGCTCGCCAGCGTCAGTGATCGCAAGTGAATGCTGGGCGCCACACGCCACCATCGCGATAGTCGTGCGATGAAGCGCCTTCTCCAGGGCCAGCTCTTCCACGAGATGTGGAGCCAGGAACGAGGACGTGGAGACGACGCGTGTTGACTCGTTATCAGGTAGAGTAGACGTATGAGTGGCCACAGTGACGGCGGCAACCTTCTTGTCCTCGTTATCGCCGTAGCTGTAGACGTCGCCCGTGGACGTGAGATACAGCAAGTGCTCACCCCCACAAGCCACTTGCACGATCGGCTGGCCGTTGGCTAGAGACACGTGCTTCGGTCGGAGAACTAGCGGCGTCCCACCCTCGAGACTGGGTGGACGCCCCCACACGTACATACAGGAGCTTGGCTCTTCGACTTGAGTTGCGTCGTCGCCTTCCTCGAGCTCTACCACGTCTACGGCGTCCTCAACGCTGCCTTCTTCGTCGTCGCTCTCGTCACCATCCACTTGGTCGCTCTCTGCTGCGATCGACACTGTAGACGCCTGTAGCTCCTGATTTTCGCCGACGTCACCCTGTTGGTCATTCACTTGAGCCGCAGACGTCATCGTGCTGAGAGAAATGGTGATACCACGTGGACTTGTGCCACTTGCACGCCTGGTTCTTCGATTTAGTACTGGTTGGGATTTGCTGCGTTTTCTGGGCATGCGTTGCACTCGCTCGAAGCCCTGTAGTCGGTCGTGCAAGACTGCTAGCATCTCGTTCTGCAGCGCCACCAGCGCTGTCATACTGCTCTGGACGTCTGTACAAAGTTTGGCTTGTAAACTCTCTCTCTCCTGCTGCAGACGACGAACGTGGGCTGCGTTCTCGTGGTCCACACGACTGTGTCGAGTCCAGAACGTGTGTTTAATCTCCGGTAGCACCTCGTGACTCAACGCTCCCAGAGGACTCAGCACTGCGTCTTCGCACTTCTTCTCAAACTCTGGCTGTACAGACTCCAGCAGTTGATGCAGCGCTTGAACAAGTCGCGCTGCGTGTGTATTGCCGTCTTGTGCATCAGCAAAGAGCGACATATCGGCCACTCTCTTGTACTCGTCCAGTACAGCAGTCGTGGCCCCCCACCATGCTGTCGTGGCCTGCATATAGGCTCGTACACAGTGCCACAACGCACTGATATTACCCTCAGCTTGCAGCACGTCATTCCTAAATCGTGTGGACACATCGATGATGTCTACCTGTTCCAACAGCTCCTGGTCTGAGCCGTCGCTCTCAATCCCCACGTCTTCGCTGTCTGTGACGCTGTCAGCGTCTGCCCACGCCGTGGTCTCCACTGTGGGTTTAGCCCAGTCCGGCAGTTCGCCTTTCACAGGCCTAGGCGGTCGGTTGCGGTGGTGGGCCACAAAATCGCAGAAAATCTGCATGTCTAGACCAGCACTGGAGCTCGTGTCGTGGTGCATTCCAGCCGCGTGTTGCCGCGACAAATGCGCTACGACTTCACGTAGGAAGCTCTGAAGGCCGTCGAAGCGCTGCTGTAGTTGTACGCTCGATAAAGGAAACACCTGGAGCGCGTACTTAGGTGGAAGGCCAACCGGAGGATGAAAGTGAAGCTTGGCAGCTAGAGACGCGATCTGAGAGTACCGACGGTACACCAGGAAGTGCGCATTGGCCGTGCACACCTGCAGCACATAAGCCAGAAAAGGCTTGCGGTTTTGCGCGTGCTGCGCCTGGTAGAAGCCCAGCATCTGCACATCCGTCAACAGCCCGAAGCCGAAGCCGCCCATGGTCGATAGATACACCTGCTTAATGCTGAACTGTTGAAGAAAATGACATGGTTCGATGCGGTGGCGCGATCTGTGTCTTCGGTGTCTTAAGGTTTTGTGTGAAAGTTTGAAACTGACTATTGTCACTAGATCAAAGTGTTTTGTCACCGAAATAAAGCAATTGAAACGCAAGCCACAAGATGCACACATCAGAAGTGACCAGAGTGTTGGTCACCCGCGCGCAATATTTTGAATCATGGAGGAGCGCGCGGAATGGACTTTGACGCTGCGTGAGATCTTCCAGGACGTCCAGCTGCAGGCCGTGGAGGCCAGCGGGTACCTGCGAAACCCGTCGGGTATAGCGCACCAGCGGACACTTGTCCCATCCGTGCGACGTCTCAACACGCTGTTTAATGACGAGGTTAAGGACGGCAAGCGCGGGGTGGTGGAGGAAGCGTTTGTGCTCTTCCTGGACGAGATATGGCTGGCTATGGCCAGAGTGTTGGTCGCTTCTAAAGTGAGTGACGTGGTGCTGCTAGCTGTAGCCTCGTTCGTGGGCGAATTCCTGCGTCGTAAGAGCAGCAAGAGCAAGGAGCTTAAGGGCAAGGAGGAGCTGCGTGTGGAGCTTCTCAAGCGCCTCATGGACGCCACCAAGGCTGAAGATCGCGCCGTGAGACTGCGAGCCTGTCACATGCTGCAGGTCGTGGCCAACCGCCTTGACTACATCGAGTAAGCGGTCGAACTGGACGCTGTCACCGGTTAGAAACTGTTTCTAACTGTTATTAACTGCAGGGAGGAGCTCGAAACGCAGCTAAAAGCGACAATGCTCAAGAGACTTAACGACAAGCTAACGTCTGTGCGGATCCAGAGCATCTACGGACTCAAGAACCTCCAGAATCCAGAACAAGACGAAGATGACGAGGTGACGCAAGAGCTGAGGAAGCTCATGGTGTCTGACCCGTCCAAGTGAGTTGCAACCTGTATCGACTAATATGTTATAATATAAACTAACAGAGGTTTCAACTGCAGGGACGTACGCAAGGCGGCGCTGCTCAGCTTGACAGTCTCCAAGAAGTTATACCAGGACCTTCTGGTCCGCATCCGAGACGCCAGCGAGGACGTTCGCTACGCCGCCTTCCGTACCATCGGCAACTCCATGCCTCTGGAGGAAATTCCTGTTAGTGACCGCGCCCATCTCCTGGATCAAGGGCTACAGGACCGAGCTGCGCGTGTGCGACGAGCGTGCGAGCAAATGGTGCTGAAGAAGTGGTTCCCAGAGTGCGGTTCTTCGCCTGTGCTGCTGCTCAAGGCGCTGGATATCGAGCAGTATCCGGACATGGGCTCCAAGGCCTCGCGCCTGTTGTTGAAGCACTTCTCGGAGCAGCCACGAGCGCTACTGGAGAAGGAAGGAGTCGTCGAGTTCAACGCGCTGGATATCATGTCCGAGAACAGCGACGCGTTCAATGCCGAGAGCGTTTTCTTCTGGCGAGAACAGTGCTACTACTACCAGAAGGTCGACAACGACCCGGATAAGGCTGCGGCACTGGTGCCGAACGTATCGGACTTCAGCAAGATGCTGGTGGCCACGTGCAAAGCCGAGAGCGACGTGCTCTTCATCGCACAGCAGCTGCTGGAGTTCGGACATTTGCTCGACTTCCAGGACGAGTTTGGACGCCGAAACCTGCTGGACGCCTTGCGTACGTTTGTGATTCTCTTACTGGGACGGTGATGTCCTGACTCGAACTGCTCTTGACTGTAGAGAAACTACTGCGTGAGCTGGACACGGATAGCCAGCTGATCAAGGGCGTCATGGAGCTGATGGCCTTCGTGTACTCTGGCAGCTCGGAGCAGGAGTTTATCCAGGTCGTGGCTGAGGTTATCTCGGACATGTACGACCCGGTGGAGGTGGGCAATCAGGACAACTCGACGTCGCAGCAGGAAGACTCGGAGGCTCCTGCGTCCCAGCAAGAAGCTTCGGCTGAGGACGAGACGGCAGCGCTCAGTTTTGGACCGCAGCTGCATAAACTGAGTGAGGAAGACCGCGAAGCTGCGGAAGCCAAGTTCGAAGAGCTGGAAAAACATCTCGAGACGCTTGAGTTCGACTCGGAAGAGTACAACAAGGTGCAGACAGAGATGGTGGCGTTGGAGGCGCTGCTACAGGACCCGAGAGTGCTGAGTTGGCTGCGATGTCTCGAGATTGTGGCCCAGCTTCTGAAGCTCACATCGCATAATCTGAGCGACCCGATCGTGGACGGTATGAGTCGCTACATCCTGCCTGCGATTGACAGCGACGTGCCTGCGCTACGTGAAGCTGGACTGGAGAACCTGGGACTGTTCTGTCTGCTTGATAAACGTCTCGCCGAGCGGTATCTGATTGTGTTCTGGCGCGCTCTGAACAACCCAGAAGAAGAGAGCGAGGTCAAGCACACGTGCGTCCAGTCCATCTTGGATATGGCATTCAGCTTTACCAACCTCCAGCCACACATTTTCGGTGCGAAACAAGCAAGAGGTTCTGGCGATAAAGAAGAAGAGAAGGACGAGCGTGCCAAGGAGAGCGAGAGTCAAGAAAACAGTCAGGACGACGAAAACAATGATGATCAGGGAGGAGACAAGGATGAGAACAAAGACCAAGACGAAGATATGGATAAGAACGGCGACCCGGAGCTAGCGGTGGGCGTCGAGAAGCTGGATCTGGACGCTATCTTCGTTGGTCTAGGACAGTTGATCTCAGTCGATGACGTGGATCTTCAGAGCACCATCGTGGAAGGCTTCTGCCGCCTGTTCATGATGAATCGCATCGACAACATCACAGTGCTGGCGATCCTGCTGGAGACGTACTTCAGTCCGAAGCTTCAGAAGGTGCAGCGGCAGAGCGAGCACGGCTTTCAGTCGCGCTCTCTCCAACTGCTGAGTATTTTCTTCCCTGCTTTTGTCATGGCTACATCAGCCAACTGCATGCTACTGGAGGAAGCCGCCACGCACTTGATCCAGAAGTCGATGGAGAAGTTGGAGATGGAGAGCGACGATATGCTCGATTTAAGCGCGTGTGCCAAGTACGTGCTGCATCTGCTGAGTCACAGCGATCAGGAACAAGAAGCAGCAGCTGTCCAGACGAGAAAAGGGCGCGCCAAGAAGCCCCAGAGACGACGCTGCGCGCATCATAACCGTATCGGAATCACCATCTGTCTCGAGATGCTGGCGCTTGACAAAGTGTCGGCGATGCCCTCGATCCACCAGGATGTGGTCATTACAAGACAGAAGACTCTTCTCAAGATGATCGCATGGGTGGAAGTGACGCTGGACGAGCAGCGATCTGCGGCGTTGTTCAAGTACTTGCTGCAAGAGATCACGTCGTTGTGTTTTGGCTCGCAGAAGGGATTGCTGCGTAGTGCAGAGGCGGCGTTGAAGCGCACGTTGGCTAGTTATTCGGAGCAGAGCACGGAGCCGAGTGAGGACCAGACGGCTGCTTTGGAGCAGGATCAAGTGTGGGCTCACGACCTCGTCAAGGAACGAGAAGAAGTGCTGCTTACAGTGCTGGTGAGGGCGAGTGCGGACCACGAGAAGTGGCTCAAGAGACAGAAGAAAGCTCAGCGACGACGGAACGCGCGGTACGTTTCATCAGGGTCGTCGGATTCAAGTGACAGTGAAAGCGACCAGGACGGAGACGACGAAGAACCCGCTACTGCACCTGCACGTCGTGAGCTTTCATCGCGTCGTAGTAAGACGGCGGCCGTGAGTCGCATGCACGAGAAGGAGGGCGAGTTTGACGCGAGGATTAAGCAGGCGCTACAGGCCGATGACGCGGATGAGGAGGACGAAGAAGAGTACGACGAGGACAGTGAAACTGAAGGCGACGAGGAATCCGATGCCGAAGACGAGGACGGAGAGGAAGACGTGGAAGACGAAGAAGAGTAGGTGTACGGTTCTAAATTCTAGGCAACCCGGACTTGGGATCAGTGCCGGTACCACATTATCGGGCTAGATTGATGAACGTTTGGATAATAAAACGCGTAAGATACGAATGACAGATCCGAATCCGTAGCTCTTTCACAATCTATATAACACACAAAGTATTACTACATGTAGTTTCGGGGTTTTGCTAGAAGCATGGTACTATTAATATATTGTCGATCAGTTTTAAATCCCCACAGCGTACTACATGTACTACACTCCACCGCTAGCCAATTGGACAGACGAATGGGTAAAAGGCGGGTGGACGTTCTTTCGGAAAAAGATCCCATGTGGCATGGGATTGAGGCACGTACGTAGTCTCTGCTTCCTCACCAAAGGAACCCGACGAGCAAATGCAGCCCACGTGCTGCTGAATAGTATGCCTATGCTTGAACGTCATGCTGACGTTGCCTTAAAGCCCTTTCCCAACCGGTGCGTATCTAAGTATCGACAAAGCGCTAACCCGCGCAAACCAGATGAAACCGAGATGCCTTTAGATGACACCAACCCAACAGAAGCACTGGGTACAGTATTTGAGCAGTTTTTCGCAGTGCTGTGGGTGACACCAGCGAAAAAGAACCTAGAAGCTATTCGGCTGCTTGCCAGCATATAGGTAGCGAGGAAACTCAATCTCATCAACCCATGTCGAACGCTACAGCAAGATAATCTTCTACAAGAATTCACGATACACGGCTCCCATACGAATGCTGTCTCCCCGAACGGTTTCTTTGCCTACCACTAGGTTGATGGCCACATAAACGTAACACCGGACATTGGCTCTTCGTGCTGCGAGATGGACCGCACCCTCAGGTATGCCATGGTAACCGTACTAGGCGCTGACGCCATTAACACCGATAAATTTACCGGCTGGAGCACGCGCCAGCGCGTACTCGGGCTCGAGTTTGATTCGGAGGCCGGAGAGGTCGCCTTACCGGACATTAAGATTAGTAAGGCTCGTAGGATCATTGCGTCTGCTTTTCACGCCAAGACACTCTCTCGCTAGGAGTACCGATCGCTGCTGGGTAGCCTGCGCCATATGGCTACTTTCGTTCGGGTCGCTCGACCTTTCTTACAGCGCCTCCGCCAACCGGAAGGTCATCATCACCGGTTTCAGAACGTCCTGGTCTCCGACGATATGAAATTGGATCTACTGTGGTGGTGGCTGATACTGCACCCCCCAACTGATTGGTGTGTCTTTGGAATACTTCAACACGCTGCCATCTCCCGACATTGTGGTCGAGATGGATGCTTCCGACTATGGCCTCTGCGCTCTCGACCCCGCCAAAGAAGCGCTGACGCACGCATTTACTGTATCGGAACGCCAATTGATCACGGAGTTCAACCGGGGTGATCCTAACGGTTTCGATATCAACTACCGTGAGCTACTGTCCTGTGCATTCGCCGCTTACGCCTGGGGCCCCCGGTGGTCCAAACGCTCATCGCATCAAGTCCGGCCTACGCACGTACACCTCCGTATTGACAATTCGTCTGCGGTGGCATGGCAAAACAAGCTGGCATCGCGTAACTCCCGCGCCCAGGTTATTATCCGTCTCTTAAGCTGGTGGGAGACATCGCTCCGACTCCGCTTTTCTGCGTCGCACATCGCCAGTGTTGACAATGTTCGCGCTGACGCCGACTCCCGCTCCTCGGCGAACCCATCGCTTGCAGCGCTGTTTGAGTCACTAACCCTAGGCTGGTCACAGGTATCTCCGGCGGTGGACGTCCAGGGTCTAACCAATATCTGGCTGCGTATCTCCGCGCACACTCCGTTGCCAGCTCCACCTTCGACCAATACATGCGGGCACGAACCAAGTGGCAGGTTTGGACCTCGCGAAGGGGTGTTTCTCCATGGCTTCAAGGCAGATCTCTCGTCGACCAAGTGCAGCACATCTCGGATTTTGTGTTACACGGATTTCAGTTCGGTTTTGGTTTCAGTGATTCGATCCGCAGTGATTCCATCATGACGGTCCTCCAAGGCATCCGTCATTTCTCCTCCGCACTTGGCTACGACATTCCAGTCTCACACTCGCACATACGTATGGTGCTCAAAGGCATCAGTCGCCTCGACAGACCACGTATCCGGAAGTCACCCGTCTCTCTCGATCTCATAGAGGCCTGCTTGCAGAGCATGGCCCTGTCTGATCCCATTTAAAAGCTCTTTGGGGGGTTCTGTGCTTGGCATTTTTCTTACTACTGAGGCGCTCCAAAATTGTGGCGATCAGCAGAGGCTCTTTCAAGTGGTTTGCACTACGAGCTCAAGATATGGTGACTGTAGATGCCCACGGAGCTGAGACCCTAATTCCGTCAGAGGCTCATTCGGTGTGGATTCGCCTGGTGGGATCGAAGACGAACCAAGGTGGAGCCCCAGTCACTAGGGTACTCTCCCGTTCTGGGCATCGCTTCTTGTGCCCAGTGTTTGGAGCCCTCATCCTGCTACAAGCGAGAAAAGACCCCCCCGCTGATATTCCGGCCGCGGTCTTCATGTCACGACACGGCAGGCCGATGGCCATCTAGACTGAGGACGTCTCCAACATCATCAAGACAGCTGCTGGCCGCGTAGGCAAAGACCCGTGCCGCTTCAGCCCGCACTCCCTGCGCTCCGGAGGTGCGACGCATATGTACCGGTCAGGGACGGACGCACTGACAATTCAGTTCCATGGCCGCTGGGTGTCGGACGAGTACAAGACCTATACAAGACTCTGCAAGGAATCCGTGGCCAATCTGTCTGCGTCCATGGTAGCTGGGCCCAGGGGTGCTTCAACGTTACATTGATGAGGCTGATTGCATTACCATCTATTGGGGCCCCGCTCTCCTCGTCCCTTTTTCGGACTGAGCTGATGGTCATTGCATAAGCTCTCATTAATGAAATTGTTGTTTGACCCCCATGGTTTGTGGAAAGATGTATTCCATAGTGGAGCAGAGTGAAACAAGGTAATTGTGTTTTCCACACGAGATAACGTACCGGTATACCAGTGCTAACCGGTATTGCCTGCTTCGCTTGTCTGCTGCGAACCACACGTGTCCTGCCCTCACACTTCGCAATCGGAAGAACAAGCAGCAAACAGCTCAAGAATTACCCGCCTCTCCTCGTCCCTTTTACGGACTGAGCTGATGGTCATTGCATAAGCTCTCATTAATGAAATTGTTGTTTGACCCCCATGGTTTGTGGAAACATATTAAATACGGATACGTGTGGTCGACCACCTCCGTCATTTACACTTTCCCGACATCGAAGATAAGTAGCACCCTCCCTGTACGACCATGAACCAGCAAGTTATAGCGTCTGCAGCACCTTCTTCACCACTTCACGAGGCCAATACCTGCTCACCTCCGTGCAGGCCAAGACACCAGAGCACTACGAGATCTCGGCACAGCCCCAAACGCATGCGAAACCTAAGCTCTCAGGGCATCTTAGCTTTGCGACGTATGTTACGTCACTGGAGTAAGTCTCGTCGCGACCACAGTCCAAGTCGCCGGCGCAGTCATGGTCGTGGTCGCGGTCGCAGCTCAAGCCCAAGTCGGCGGCGGAGTTATGGTTGCGGTCGCAGTCCAAGCCCAAGTCGGCGGCGCACTCGTGGTGGCGACCGCAGTACAAGTCGTCGACGCACTTCTCTCCGAGGATATAGCCTAAGGCACCAGACCCCGTGAAAGTCGGTGGCGCGGCACAAGTTTGTCTTGGCGCTCTTCGCATTGCCGCTACGTTGGCTGCTACGTTCATGTTAAACCGGCCTGCCGAAGGAAGATGAAGGTACTAAGCCTCCCGAAAGTGAGGTCATCATTGTGATGAGTAAGGGCTGTCTGGATATGTTGACTGTCATTCCACACGAGAAGATCATAGACGAAGGCAAGGCCACGTGTGTGGCCAAGAGCATTCGGTATTCGGACGTGATGTGGAAGCGGGTTTGGTCACATATTCGTACAACGGGGCTGAAGACGTACACACCTAGAATTTGGAATGTTGATGAGGTGGATGCCGCTATGGTAAGTCGTACCAATATTCCTTTAGAGCGTTTTAACAACGAGATAAATGCGGAGCTAACAGCTCCACACCCTTTTCTGCCATCATTTGTTGGCATAATCCAAGCTCTGAGGAAAGGCTCTGCCCATCGAACTGAGGTGATGTCAAAGTCCCGAGCGAAGAAACGGCAACGTCGAGCTCCTGAGCCACTAGATCTCCCTGTCCCTGTGGAACTCGGAGGAAGTGTAGACACCGTAACGACGAACGCGTAGATTACGTAGTAGTAAATATAATACAATTTTCTGTATATTTACAAGTGCGTGTAGAAGGACTTGTGCATGAAAATAATTTCAAGTCACTTCAGGTTTGATCAACGTTCGACAGGGTCAAGGGATTCGATCAACTGACCGTTTATGTGATGATCGAAATAGGATCCAAATGAAAGTCTACCAAATACAGGACCGATAATGGCCATCACTATCAAGCGAGGCTCGCATGCGGGTCGTAGCGGACTTAAGGTTTAGCCTTCACGTTTTGGGCTTGGGTTTCACGGGTATAGATAAATGCCTTATCTGTCTTATTGTGGAGTCCAGAGTCTAGACTCCACAACGGTGCTTATTTTCTACTCGACAAGCAGGATATTATCGCTAGACTACGCAACGAAGGCCCTTGACTAGAGCCCTGGTAATAAAACAATATCAGCTATTATAAATTGAGCATCAGCCTAAGGGAAAAGGACAAAAGCATTGAAATACACGATACAATAATGTCGATAGCCTCGGATGCTTTTTAAGTATGATATGTGAGCTCTAACGTTTGTCTTATTGATTGTGGAAGTGTCCAAGAGCGGTACCAGCGTAAAAAAAGGTAGTAGTACTTCCGGGAATACCGGGACTGTACGAATATTGATACTACAGTAAGCACTGTCCAATCTGGTACCATGGTCCGAACATTTCCAATATTTCGAAGTTGCTGCCTCTAAATGGTCAGCTGAGAAGCGCGGATGACAATGACCTCTATATCTAAGTTGCTATCGTAGTTGGAAGCGCTGGTGGCCTAGCTGTTTTCGTCGACTCCATTAAAGGCAGTCCCAGTATGGCGAAAGCAGCTCTTAATAGTCACTTTT